ACCATGCAGAATATCAGCAACTTCACAGTGAGGCAGAATCAAGGACACATTTCCCAGTTTGAATCCTAGACTTCCACTTAGCTACCTTACAACAAGAACCTCTGCTGTTAAACAGATTACATAATAAATACATCTAAGTTATTATTGGACTTTTCTCAAACAGGAATAAATGGCTAGAAGCGGGATCTTTGTACAGAGAAACCCATTATGCATACTAGAAAGCACTAGAGACAGATGATAAGACATCAAAAAGGCCTTCTCTGCCTAACCACCCTACAATGAAGCCCACCAACCTGCAAGCCGCACTCAAAGACGACGCATACCATTCCTAAACATGTACACGTGAATGAAGCTTCCAACATGAAAGGCAGGCCAAAAGCAACTTTGAAAGCCACTTTGAAAATAGACACAGACATTGTAGGTAGCTGAAGAAAAAATTTTTTTTTGAGATGGAGTCTCACTCTGTCACCTAGGCTAGAGTGCAATGGCATGATCTTGGTTCACTGCAACCTCTGCCTACCAGGTTCAAGCGATTCTCCTGTCTCAGCCTCCTGAGTAGCTGGGATTACAGGTGTGTGCCACCATGCCCAACTAATTTTTTTATTTTTAGTAGAGATGGGGTTTCAGTATGTTGGCCAGGCTGGTCTCAAACTGCTGACCTTAGGCAATCTGTCTGCCTCGGCCTCCCAAAGTGCTGAAATTACAAGTGTGAGCCACTGTGCCCAGACGAAAACTTTTAAAATGTAGAAAAAGCACTGAGTTAATATTCTCAGCAAAATTAGACACGTCACTCATGAAATGAGAACAGGATACTGTAAAAACCATTTAGAAGACCACACCTCTTGCCCATAAAAGCTCCTGAGAATTAAAAATATAATGGTAGGAATGTAAACATTTAATAGCAGTATTGGGAGATTTATTGGAACGAAAAATCATGGGACATTTTTCAAATAAAAAAGATAAAATTACAGGACAGATCCAAGAGATTCCATTTTCAGATTCAGTCTAAGTAATTTAAGTTTCAGAAAGAAAGCATGAGAAAATTATATAACAGAAGAAAATAACTCAGAACTGAAGAATGTAATTTTTGAATTGAAAAGGTCTATAAAACACCTAGGACAGTGACTGATAGTCCCCTGTATCTCCCGCCAAAAAACCCCTCCCCAACATTAAATAACAACATCATGAAATATCAGAATATGAGCAATAAAGAAAAGAAAACCCTACAAACGCCCAGAGATTAAAACAAAATACCAGGGATCAGGAATTAGAATGGCATCAGCTTCTCAACAGCACTGTAAGAAAGTAGAAGAAAATGGAGCAATGCTTTCAAAATTCGGACAGGAAATGATTTCTGATTAATATCCCATACCCAGCCAAACCGGCAATCAAGTGTGAAGGAAGAGTGGTGACATCTTAAATGGGTACAAGCCCAAAAAGCAACCGTGTCTTATGGGGCCTGAATCTTACACACTTTCGGAAGCCTTCTTTAAGAAAAAGGCATAAAATTGCAAAAACTGTACATAATTGGGTATGAAAGTGTATATGTATTCCACAAGAGATGGCCTGGATAGAAAAAAAAAAAAAAGTGGGTATGTATTTAGAATGAGAAAAGAAATCACAACAGACAGGGGCCGTTCTAGACTCACTCTTTCCAGATGTGCTTAGAAAATGTACCCCAAATGCTTCTTGATGGCAGCCTGGCTTTTCCTCCCTACTCAACAGCTTGCAATGCAATTAGCAGCACTCAGAGGGGCTCCATGAGTTTCCTGGGCTTCAGGAAGTGACTCCTTGCTGATGAGTTCTCAAACAACTAAATAGAGTAAAGAAAATGTAGCAATTCCTAGCTCCAGGAGGGGCGGGGGTAGAAAGACTGGTCAAGAAGGGAAATGTAAAGATCATGGTGTATCACCTGCCTTAGATGGGAACAATATATACATGGTCATAATAATGTAAACACCAAACATTGACTTATCAAAAATGTAGGATATAACCATATTGGGAACTTATAAGAAAGGGATATGAAGATAAGATAGAGGGTTGGGGTGTAAAGGAGATAAACCCTCATCCTTCTAGGTAGGATGTCAATAGATGTCATCCAGAACTGAAAAGAGAAGAAGAAATGGCCAGTATTTGCATGCTATTTAGGATACGGTAATATCAGAAAAACGCAACCCAGAGCATTGAAAGTAATTGCCGCTAGGGTTATATACTCAGTACAAACTCAGTAAAATCTTTCTACAACGAACGACTTCTAAGACTATACATTGATTTGTGTTGACCAAAGTAGAAAATTAAAAAATAAAGTAATACCCTCAAGAGGAGTGAGGCAAAAAGCTAATGGAAATAAAATAAAGGCACAGATTCTCAAGGGACAGACCACATGCCAGAAGGAGCAATAATCTGAACACTGTATTTAGAGAATCTAGAAATTCTCCAATGAAGTAGAGTTAGGGAAGCAACGTGAGGTACTTGCTTTATTTTTCCTGAATCCAGTTTTCTTCTTTAAAAAACCGTAAGATTGGACTTGACAATCTTTAGGGTTATACCCAGCTCTAAGACAGTTTTGTAATTACATGGAATAAAGATGGGCATGAAATATACCAAATGAGAGAGTTTCTAAATTTAGATTCTAACAGTTTAAGTCAGAAAATAAGTGTTCAGGAAAAACAAATCACAATCTTCCATCACAAAATTCAGAAAAACCACCCTGGAGGTGGCTGTGATATTCCGGAAGGAATGCTGGTTTGAGTTCTGGCTCTGCCATTTAATTACTGGGTAACCCTGGGTCGCATACAGAATATCTCTGTTTCTATCTCCTCATTTTAAAAATATGATTCTAATCTTAACTCACAGTGCTGGTTACAAACATCACCTTGTGCTCTGTAAAGCCCCGTTATGATTTCAACAACCAGCAAGGTAATGGCTTATGATATCTAAGTTCCGGTAAGGAGAACAACGGGGGTGTGTGTCTTGCTATCTTCAGCTGAACTCTGCATCACATACAGGAGGCTGATGGACCTTTTGACTTTCCTTTTTCCTCCAGTAGTGTAGCTAGTGGCCATTTAACTTTTACACAAGAGAACAGAAAAGAAAGACAGAATTCACTAAAATTCAAACAGTCTCTGTGTTTGCTTCTAGCTTCAGTGAAGGTTTCGGGGAGAGGGCTGGCTGGTTAAAAAGGTAGAAGCTTAAGAGTTCAAAGAAAGTGTGAGGAGGACAGCCAGCACTCACCTGTGGCCTCTAATTGTTCGTATTCAGTATGGTCTCATATTGGGAATAGTCTAGTGTTTGTCTTATGACCTGTCTATAGAAACAAATATGGAATGTGTCTGCAAGTACCCATTATCTGATGACAAGCTAGTGACTTCTCTTACAATAAAAGTTTAGCAATAGCAAGGACTTTGGCTAGGGGAGTGACTCTACGTGTGGTGAAACTGTCCTCACCCATTTTACATTTGAGGCAAAGAGATAATCTTTTGATTACATCCAACACAGGTAACATCTGTACTTTGAACAGTTAAGTACGGCAGCCAATGTCTAACTGAACGTAGGGGGAGATAAGAAACAGAAATAACTGGTGCCAAATGTGAGTTTTAATAGCTTCGCCTACGCCATCAAACCATCGACCAGAAGCGTAAGTGAGGAACTCACAGAATAAATGGGAACAGGTGTGGCCTGAGGATAAGTAAGTGGGGATACTGTTTCCATCTTCATGAAGATTCGAGAGGAAATCAAAGCTCTTTAAAAAGAAGGAACTGGAATGCTTGCTCCTGTAATATCAGAACAAATAATGCACAGCCAGAGGTCATGCCTCGCCTTCTGCTTATCTCAAGCACCTCTGCTTGTAAAATCAGTGGGCCATATTCAATAATACCTTCATATCAGCTTCATATCTTTTCCCAGAAACCCCAGGAACAGAGGGTGCCAATATCCTTATTCAACCAAGAAGCTCGCAGTCACGAAGAGCTAAGTCTGAAGCCACTGGGCCCCTACCTCACCATGTGTCCCGATTCTTTCCATAGTTCCCCGCTGCGCAGTAACCAGGTTATACTGAAGCTGCACGTCTGGTTAAAAACAGTACACATTTCTCATGAACGATAAGCCATCCTTCCCATTAAAATGAGTGTAAAATTGCAGGAAAAATGCTGTAGGCAGGTCTGTTTGGAAAGCTATTCGACCCTAGGAGACAAAAAGGTGTGGGGGCGAAGAGGAAAACGGCAGACATCGCAGAAGGACGGTGGAAGAGAACGTGAAAGAGGTGGCCATTTCTGCAACTTTTAGGAGAGCTACCTGTCCTCAAATTTTGAAAGGGTTTCTATTTCTTAAAATGCTATGTTTCCCTGGCTGAAACTCACATCTTTCTTCCGTCTAGGGCTGGATCAAAACTTTAGAGGTTATTTCTCTGGTCCTAGACAGGGCCAGCCCCGCAAATTTCTCCCCCACGGCGCCTGACATCCGCTTCCATCCATTACTCTATCAGCGGAAGCTAAGCGCTGGCTCAGGGGACTTTATCCACCGCTCAGTGTTATTAGATTCCAGGCTTCCCGGCCTCAGGAAAGGATCTAGCTCGAGTTTTTGTGGCTTGCACCTAACTAGGAGAGGCAGTCGGGGTACCAGTGCACAGAGCTATGTGAGCTGTGACTGGACACAGCTCAGGGGCCAGATGGAGCCATCGCCGCGGGCGCGCGTTCCCGGACCCACGGGCTAGACGGAGGCCGGGGGCTTCACACCTTCCCTTCACCCGGTGGCGGACCTGACTCGGGGGACTGAGCAATATGCATTCCAGGGCCGCTGCCAGCCAGCCAGAGGCGCTCCCGGGCGGTGGGAGTAGTGGGCGCACCCGTTCTGCAGCCCGGAGGGGGCCCCAGGTGGGCTTCCGAGACACCAGGGCCCTCCTCCCCCGACCCGCCCTCCTCTAGAGAAGCCTCCATCCCTGTCCAAGAGCCCCTCCCTGTGCGTATCTCCTCCCTGTCCGCGAACCCTCCGACGCAGGTCACCTGAGAGCCGGAGCCCCCTCTCCATCACAGCCGAGCTCCTCGGCGGGACCCCCATCCCTTCGAGCCCTCCTCCAGGTTCCAGCCCCCTACGAGTACTGACCTCTGACCTGTGCCCAGCGCCTCGCAGCCGTCTGCAGCCCGCGCTGCGTGCTAAGTGCGGCCGCCCAGGAGCAGGTGCAGCTCCAGGCCCGCCCCGCCCCGCTGCTCCCCGCCCCGCCCTGCTCCTCTCCGCCCTGCCCGGCAGCAGCCAGTCCCTTTCCAACCTTGACCGCCTTTCCCGGTCCGGGCCAGCGTGCCGGGCCTCTGTCGTCCGGCCCGCGCTTCCTCCACGCCCTTGATCTTCCCTTGGAGATGTCTCTGGTCCCGGGAACTCCCTAACTCAGGAGAGGCTGGTTCCTGGGTCACCAGGAGGATTGCAACCAACCATGACCTCCTGGAATGCAAAGCGATGGCAGGGCTTGGGAAGCGGCGAGGACCCCGAGCAGAGGCTGTGGCCCCGGAAGAGTGTTGCCAAGCCAGGCAACCAGTGCGAACACACAGGAGAAACAGCCACGGATCCGGGAGAAACGGATCACCCTCCAGCAAAGGAAGAAGGCTCCAACGGTACATCGGAGACCACAATCCAGGTTTTCTAGTTTAAGTTTGGTGGCTAAGTTTGAGTGTCACATAGTTCACTCCTTCATTCATTCATTCAACAAATCTGCCGTGTGCTCATCTGATGGCAGATCTGACAGGCAGGCATAGTTCTAGGTGCTGGCGATAGAGCTGAGAAGGAGAAAAGTCCCTGTCCTGGAGAAGGGGGCTTCCTGCTGAGGAGCGCGTGACTTTCTTTGTGATATTGTGCTGTCGCAGCAGCGTCCTCTTCTGTAAGCTACAAGGCTGGCCACGTGGAATGGTTCTGCACTCTGTGTGTTGCCCATCAACCCTGTGCACAATATGAAATAAACACAAGCTCTAAGGCGCCATCTCAGACCTACTGTTAAGAATCCAGGGGAGGCGTGCTGGCTGATGCACCTATTAAAAGCTTCTCAGGAGGCCTATGGAAGTCGGGATTGAGAGCCACGGATCTAGATCACTAAGATGCCTGGCAGCTTATTCCCCACTGTTCAGGGCACTGGCAATCAGGAAAGGATTCATGGAAGAGATGTTTGTATTCGGGCTTAAAAGCAGGGTCATAGATACACATTCGCAGTGCAGAAGGACGCAGGATCCAATGGGCAGCCTCTTGACCAAATAGCTCTCCCTTTCTATAAAGTCAGAGAAAGTCACTTTGAAGGATAAGACGTTAACTGGAGTAGGCCTTTCCCTGGTAAAATGGAGTGAATGAGATCTGGTGGGAGATGGTAATGGCCAAGAGGCAGTGCCATCAGTTAAAAGGATAATGGAGTCGTGCACCCTATTAGAGGGAGGATGGGCCACAGCCAGGAGCTGGGAGGGCATCTTTTAAATTTGTCTTCAGCTTGGGAACTTATAACACACGTCTTATACTAGCACTTGCTCACACCCATTGCTTTCGAAATTGTTGATAGAGTGACGTCCTGGATATCTGTTACCCTGGGAGAGGCTGTCGTCTGTCACCAGATCCCTTTCATGGACAGATGTTTTCTTTAGTAATATTTACTTTGCCTACGATGATGAAACAAAGGTGTGACCTCTTACCTGTATAGTTACTCGTTGGTAGAGATGCTTGAAAATTATTTCTGCCTCAAAATATAATAACCGGGTGCCTCAAAGTATAAAAACCAATTGTGTATGTGTGTGTGTGTGTGTGTGTGTGTGTGTGTGTGAGTGTTTGAGACAGGGTCTCACTTTGTTACCCAGGATAGAGTCCAGAGGTGCGATCATGGCTCACTGCACCCTTGACCTTCCAGCCTCAAGAGATACTCCTGCCACAGCTTCCTAAGTAGCTGGGACTAGAGGTGTGCACCAACACCTTGGCTAATGTTCAAATTAAAAAAAAAATTTCGATAGTTTTCTAGGAACAGGTTATTTTTTGTTACATGGATAAGTTCTTCAGTGGTGATTTCTGAGATTTTTATGTACTCATCACCTGAGCAGTGTACCGTGTACCCAGCATATACTTTTTTATCTCTCATCCTCCTCCCTCTTTTCCCTGAGTCTCCAAAGTCCATTATATCATTCTTACACCTTTCCATCCTCATAGCTTAGCTCCTCCTTATAAGTGAGAACATTTGATGTTTGTTTTCCCATTCCTGAGTTACTTCACTTGGACTAATGGTCTCCAACTCCATACAGATTGCTGCAAATGCCATTACTTCATTCCTTTCTATGACTGAGTAGAATTCTATGGTGTAAATATACCACATTTTCTTTATTAACTTGTTGGTCGAGGGGCATTTAGACTGGTTCCATGTTTTTGCAATTGTGAATTCTGCTGCTATAAACATGAATATGCAAGTGGCTTTTTCATAAAATGACTTCTTTTCCTCTCAGTAGATACTCAGTAGTGGGACTGCTGGATCAAATGGTAGTTTTACCTTTAGTTCTGTAAGGAATTTCCATACTGTTTTCCATCATGGTTGTACTAGTTTATATTCCCACCAGCAGTGCAAAAGTGTTTCCCTTTTCACCACATCCACACCAACATCTACTATTTTTTGATTTTGAAAAGTATGGCCAGTCTTGCAGAAGTAAGGTGGTATTTCATTGTGGTTTTTTAATTTGGGTTTCCCTGATAATTAGTGATGTTGAGCATTTTTTCATGTGTGTGTTGGTCATTTGTATTTCTTCCTTAGAAAACTGTCTATTCATGTTCCTTGCCCACTTTTTGATGGGATTATTTCTTTTTTTTTCTTGCTGATTTGTTTGAGTTCCTTGTAGACTCTAGATATTAGTCCTTTGTCAGATGCCTAGTTTGTGAATATTTTCTCCCATTCTGTGGGGGTGTCTGGTTACTCTGCTCATTATTTCTTTTGCTGTGCAGAAGTGTTTTAATTTAATTAAGTCATATATATTTATTTTCGTTTTTGTTGCATTTGCTTTTGGGTTCTTGGTCTTGAACTCTTTGCCTAAGCCAATGTCTAGAGAGTTTTTCCAATGTTATCTTCTAAAGTTTTTATGGTTTCAGGTCTTGCATTTAAGTCTTTGATCAATCTTGAGTTGATGTTTGTATAAGGTGAGAGATGAGGATCCAGTTTCATTCTTCTATATGTGGCTTGCCAATTATCCCAGCACCATTTGTTGAATAGGGTGTCCTTTTCCCACTTTGCATTTTTTGCTTTCCTTGTAGAAGGCCATTTGGCTGTAAGTATTTGGCTTTATTTCTGGGTTCTCTATTCTGTTCCATTGGTCTATGTGCCTGTTTTTATATTGGTACTGTACTGTTTTGGAACGGTATAAACCTTGTAAGATGGTTTGAAGTCAGTTTATGTGATTCCTTCAGATTTTTTTTTCTTAGTCTTGCTTTGGCTATGTGGGGTCTTTTTTGGTTCCATATGACTTTTAGAATTGTTTTTTTCTAGTTATGTGAAGGATGATGATGGTACTTTGATAGGAATTGCATTGAATCTGTAGATTGCTTTTGGCAGTATGGTCAATTTCACAATATTGATTCTACCCATCCATGAGCATGGGTTGTGTTTGCATTTGTTTGTGTCACCAGTGATTTATTTCAGCAGTGTTTTGTAGTTTTCCTTGTAGAGACTTTCATCTCCTTGGTTAGGTATATTCCTAAGTATTTTTTCTTTCAGCAGTTGTAAAAGGGATTGAGTTCTTTATTTGTTTCTCAGCTTGGTCACTGTTGGTATATAGTAGTGTTACTGATTTGTGAACATTGATTTTGTATCCTGAAACCTTACTGATTTTTTTTTTAACCAATCTTGGAGCTTTTTGGGTGAGTCTTTAGGGTTTTCTAGGTATACAATCTTATCATCAGTGAACAGCAACAGTTTGACTTTCTCTTTACTGATTTGGATGTCTTTTATTTCTTATGTCTGATTGCTCTGGCTAAGACTTCTATTCAAACTATGTTGAATAGAAGTGGTGAAAGTGGACATCCTTGGCTGGTTCGAGTTCTCAGGGGGAATGCTTTCAACTTTTCCCTGTTCAGTATAATATTGGCTGTGGGTTTGTCATTTTATTACCTTGAGGTTTGTCCTTTCCATGCCAATTTTGCTGAGGGTTTTGATCATAAAGCGATGCTGGATTTTGTCAAATGCTTTTTCTGCATTGATTGAGATAATAATATGATTTTTGTTTTTAATTCTGTTTACTGGATATGTCACATTTATTGACTTGTATATCCCGGCATCCCTGGTATGGAACCCACTTGGCCATTGCTGTATTATCTTTCAAAAAAAATTTTTTTTCATAAGTTATTGGGGTACTGGTGCTATTTGGTTACATGAGTAAGTTATTTGGTGGTGATTTGTGAGATTTTGGGGCACCTGTCACCTGAGCAGTATACACTGCACCATATTTGTAGTCTTTTATCTCTTGCCCCCCTCCTACTCTTCCCCTCAAGCTCCCAAAGTCCATTGTATCATTTTTACGCCTTTGTGTTCTCATAGCTTAGTTCCCGCATATCAGTGAGAACATATAATGTTTTTTCTCCATTCCTGAGTTACTTCACTTAGAATAATAATCTCCAGTCTTATTCAGATCACTGCAAATGCTGTTAATTCATTCCTTTTTATGGCTGTGTAGTATTCCATTATATATATATATACATATATTCCACAGTTTCTTTATCCACTCATTGATTAATGGGCATTTGGGTGGTTTCCACAATTTTGCAATTGTAAATTGTGCTGCTATAAACATGCCTGTGCAAGTTTCTTTTTCAAATAATGACTTCTTTTCCTCTGGGTAGATACTCAGCAGTAGGATGCTAGATCAAATGATAGTTCTACTTTTAGTTCTTTAAGGAATCTCCACACTGTTTTCCATAGTGACTGTACTAGTTTACATTCCCACCAGCAGCGTAGAAGTGTTCCTAGTTCACTGCATCCATGCCAACTTCTACTGTTTCTTGATTTTTTAAATTTTGGCTATTCTTGCCGGATTAAGGTGGTGTCTCATTGTGTTTTGATTTGCATTTCCCTGATCAT